AGGTTTCCCATCCCAATGAAAACTGTCTTGAGTCCTCTATGTATCCATATCCAACAGAGTAACTAGGACCTTGAAAGGGCCACCAATGCCTACTGTAAACTCTTGGAGGGGTGGGTCCTATCACACAATTCCTTCTCACTTATAGTACACTAGAATGTACTATGTAGATGTCAAAAGTTGGATATTTAAACTGAAGAAAGGGGGAAAGAGAAAATGCTTAGTATCCTGTAAAGCAATCATGTTTACATGGAAGTAATACAGCAATTACCTGTGTGAACCTGTGTGAGATTTCCCCGCCCCCACCATGCCTGAAGACTCTGTTGCAGTCAATTTCTCTTAGCAGATGGAATGCTCATGATCATTCTATGACATTGCACCAACTCAGCCAAATGCTTGATAGGCATTTGAAAATCCTCCCTTTGATTAGGTTCTGGAGAGACTGGTTTCATTCAGAAAGTAGATTATTGCAGGGTTTTCCAATGTGCAGCAAGTAACCACACCTGCCCTTGTGGACAGCAGGCTCTAGAACAACTCTAGATTGAAATCAGCATGTTGAGGACAAGCATGAATGATTCTGGATTGAAAAAAACCACATTTTTGTGTTATAAACAGGTTCACATGCAGCAGCCTATGCCTTTACTCTGAGGTAGTTGCCCGAAGCTTTCACCTGCTCCCATTTCACAGTGCATTCTGTACTAATACAAATGTCACAAACATCTATGTATGAGCATAAAGAGAGGCTCCACAGGGCTGTTTATCCTATTAGCAAGTCAGTTCGAGCAGTAGCCCCATTCCCCTATATACTAGCTGATGAAAACAAGCTTCCTGCCAGCCACAAGGGAGCAAATACGCTACTCATGGCTGTGTTCCAACATAGCATGTTCATTTATGCAATGCAGAATAAGGAATGATGACTCAGAGAGCCTTTAAGTAACAACTGTTTATCTGAGCCGCTCCCGAGGTTACCATATGTAGGTACACTCTGCCCAGCACTCAGGTCTACAAGGACCATCCCAGTGTAGTCATAAGAGCCTGGAATGCATAAACAACTTCAAAACATCTGGTGGTGTACCTTTCTGACAATTTGGCACATGCAAAACTTTGAGTACACAATCATTCTGTGTTCTTTATACACTGGAAAACAATAAATAACACTTATTATTTATTTACAGGGGTATACAGAGACTCTGGGGTTGTGATCTAGTTAAACTAATTAATTGTTATTTGCCCTGAATTAGCAACTTTGCTTTGAGTTTTATCTAGGAAGGAAACACTATTGAGTCCACTATCTTGGTTCACTTTTAAGGTGTGGAGGTGCTTCAGAATCTCCAGTGCTTTATTTATGTTGCATATCACCATCTCCTTATAAAGGGTTTCCCTTTGGATACAAGAAAGAGGAACTTATACTGTATATGGTTCTGTAGAATCCAAGAAGTTGTTACAATGCTGTGTGGATTTGTTTCAGACCCACATGTTTTAATAACCTCTCCCTGACACAATATCTTTACTCAATACTACTATGTTACATCTGATGGTGTTGGTTTAGCAATGCTGACCTGATCCAGGTTGCTGAGACAACCTGTATAACATCCAACGTCACATACCAAAACAACTCTGCAAGTCATGATATTATGCAATGCAGTGTCACTGAGCCTCATCCTAAATCTTTATATATAGCATAGAATATCTCAAAAGATATTAAATGGGAGGGGCTAATTTCACAAAGCATGTTAGTAAATCTTCAGAGTTTGGAGTTATTAAGTATCTCTCAAATGACTAGAAATTCATAACTCTTTCAAAAATGTATTTGCAAACAAGTGAAAGGGGTTGAAAACATCTTCCTATTAGCACCACTACCACAATGGGTTTTGCTTCCAGTGTAACATGTTCTTCCTCCTCCTCCTCATTAGTACTAGTAGTAGCAGCAGTATATTTGTACCCCATCCATCTGCCTGGGTTGCTCCAGCCACTCTGGCCAGCTTCCAACAAATTATAAAAACAGAGTAAAACATCAAACATTAAAAACTTCCCTGTACTGGGCTGTCTTTTGATGTCCTCTAAAAGCCATCTAGGGACGCGGGTGGCGCTGTGGGTAAAAGCCTCAGCGCCTAGGGCTTGCTGATCGAAAGGTCGGCGGTTCGAATCCCCGCAGCGGGGTGCGCTCCCGTCGTTCGGTCCCAGCGCCTGCCAACCTAGCAGTTCGAAAGCACCCCCGAGTGCAAGTAGATAAATAGGGACCGCTTACCAGCGGGAAGGTAAACAGCGTTCCGTGTGCTGCGCTGGCTCGCCAGATGCAGCTTGTCACGCTGGCCACGTGACCCGGAAGTGTCTCCGGACAGCGCTGGCCCCCGGCCTATAGAGTGAGATGGGCGCACAACCCCAGAGTCTGTCAAGACTGGCCCATACGGGCAGGGGTACCTTTACCTTTACCTTTAAAAGCCATCTAGTTGTTTATCTGCTTGGCATCTGATGGGATGAAACCACTACCAAGAAGACCCTCTGCCTGGTTCCCTGTAACTTCATTTCTTGCAGTGAGGGATTCACCAGAAGACCCTTGGAGCTGGACCTCATAGCTATCCATGGAGGCATGGGTTAATTCTTTACCCAGGACATCTCTATCAGCTACATCTGGTACACTGGCTGAGATCCTACCTGCCTGTGCACTGTTTCACCAGAGTGGTGCATGCTCTGGTTATCTCCCACTTAGACTACTGTAATGTGCTCTGCGTTGGGCTACCTTTGAAGGTGACTTGAACTACCCATAATCCAGAATGCAGCAGCTAGACTGGTGGCTGGGAGTGGTTGCCGGAAACATATAACACAAGTCCTAAGCACAATGGAAACAGTAATAACAGCACAATCCAATGCATATTATTAATGCAGAAGTGCATCCCATTGCATTAAGTAAGGCATTTTCCAAATAATGGTATGCATGGAGTTGTAGCCTGAGCTTTATCAATAATTTAAACCATCTACCTTTACAAAAGCCTATTTTCAACACTTCATCTTACATTCCCAACATTTTATCATATCTGATATAACCAAGAAACAAAATGTAAGATTGGAGTAGGTAGATGAAGGATGGTTTCAGCCAGAAGTGGGTTTACTTTCCTTTACTTTCCTCCATGCAAATGAACAGCTGTTATTTACTCATATGAGGACACTGTTGAAATAACTATGTGCCCTCCAACCCTTACAGTGGGTGACCTAGTTCTCACTGATAGGGATTGGGCATGAGGTGTACTGTGACCCTATGGTAACTGCACCTGTTAATCCCCACTCCTCTATCCCTCCACACACATACTTCTTGTAATGACAATGGGCATTCTGCTACTAACAAATAACTGCCTTTGTAATGAAGATCTGTAAATAAATATATTGTATTGTTCAGACAAATAATTTAATTTAGTGATAAGGCAGCATCATTTTCTCAAGTGTATATGTACAATAAAGCTATCAATACACTAAATTCAGTTTAAGGGGGGAAAACCTGACACATCACTATTTAAAGATCCTTCTCTAAAATCATATGCTTCTGAGTCATCAAAAACTCTCAGGTGTAGTTCTCATAGAAGTTGCCAACTTCCATGGGATTCACATGATTTCAATGTGTCTTCACATTCACAAACTCCCTGCACGTAGAAAACTAAGCTAGAAACTTTCTCCCCTCAGAGCCATCTTCCATGTGCAGGAATTTTGCTCTTTCTGATAGGAGTACTTCACCATGTAAGTGCCCACTTGTAGTCTGAAATGGTACAGCATTTATCTTCTATAGCTGAGACCTGTTACAGGGTGGATCAATAAATTTTCAGTAGTGGTGCACTGTCCACCATCTAGGATTCCTTTCACACACCCCCTGACTTTATTAAAGTTTGAAGGAAAAGATACAACAGTTAATATTAACTATCCAATATATTTTTATCAAAGATAAATGAAACTAATCTGAATGAAAACCCAAACCCAAAGGGGGGGGGGGAGAGAGAGGGAGAGGAAGGAAGGAAGGAAGGAAGGAAGGAAGGAAGGAAAGTGGGAGAAGACAACTTCTGATTCTTTGTCAGCTATATATAGGAAAATTATTCAAAACATCCACTCCAAGATAACACTCAACAATTCCACTTTGCATAAACCAGTATTTTCTTCAATCCTCAAACCCAGATATCATAAGTTCATTTTCTTTTTTGCACAAAAAGTCTATAAGGGGTTCCATCTGAATTCCTTTCCAAAAGAGTTCAGTTTATCACCTACATGGTATATAACTGGATTTCCCCCCCCTTTGGGATTTTTATTTCTGGAATGGGGATGATTATCTGTTTGTCTAGTTTAAAAACAGAATGCTGTTTTTCTTATCTTTGTATGTGTCTGCGTGATTTATTATTGTTTCGTATGTTTATTTATGAGTATTTTTACTCTATATGTCTTCAATCCTCCCTTCCTTCCTTTTTCATCTGATAGATTCAAAGATTTCCCTCACGAAGATCTATATTATCTAAAAGATTATTTGTCTTTTGTAGCTGTTATGTATTCAGTGGTCTATGTTCACCTGAGCTTGAGTCTGGACTAAGGATTCTGAGCCCCTGTGTTCTAAGTAGATACATGATATCCAATCACGTAGCATTATCAAGGTTTTGGCATTGGCTCTTAAGTTCTGAGTTACAATTCACAGCTTGGAATTTTTGACAGCCAGTCACATTGAGAGTGGGAGTGGCCCAGGCTTTCAGAAATACATTTAAGCAGTTGCTTTCCCCTGTTGTCCAGTTATGTTAGCTCAAGTCTCTTGCTATTATCATGGTGTCTGGCCTCATAGAAACCCATGTACACTTCACTGGCAACAAGCATGGGATGCTAGGCTAGTTATGCAGCCCTGGCTGGTTTCCACAAGCTGAAATCACTGCTGGGGAACTGTCACCTCAACTGAGCTGAAGCACCACTGGGGACTTGCCACCTGAGCCAGCTGGAATCACTGACTGCAGCCACAAGGCAGGTCACACAGAGCGGACCTCATGGCCACCCAGGACCACATCAAGCAATTTGACCCCACAGTCCCAGGGAAATGGGACTCCTATGCCACCAAGCTTGAGTTTTGCCGTGTGGCCAATAACGTGACCGACCCTGTATTGAAGCGAGCCATGCTGTTCAGTGTGTGGGGGCCTGCCACGTTCAAGATTCCCCAGGCCCTTGAGGCCCCAACCAAGCTAAGTGAGATGACATTCAACACAATAATGCTGAAGTTGAGGACACACTTCGCTTCCCAGCCATTGGAGATTGCTTGCCAGCACGAGTTCTACAAACGAAACCAGGCCTCAGGCAAATCCATAGAGGCCTTCATCACAACCTTGTGGCAGGACACCCACCACTGCAACTTCAGCGATCTGGAGATAATGCTCCACAACCGTCTTGTGTGCAGCCTAAGGGATGAGAAGCTACAACAGGGCCTTTTTGCGAAGAAGGATCTAGCCTTCCAGGTTGCTTTAGACGAGGCCCTCATGGCAGAGACAATCAACAAGATGATGAGAGAGATTCGCCAAGTACAAAGCCCACCCATGGCATGGAAGGCCGAAGCAGTGCACTCAGATAAGATTGTAGACAGTGAGGAAGATGAGGAGGTCCTGAGACTGTGCCTTGGCTTGTCCAAGTGTTTTGGCCAACAGAGAGGTGCAGAGGTGAATTGCACCAGTTGCGGGGGCCAGCATGAATGCCAGTCATGCCATTTCTGTGATGTCCAGTGTTGGGAATGTGGGAAAACTGGCCATATTGAATGCACCTGCCAAATGAAGGAGCAGTGGGGCACTCCCTGGTGTCCAACTTTAGGGACTGGGGATGGTCACTGCAGGACTCCAGGTGCAATAGAATGCCATGCCATATCGGAGTGTACCTGCACACAGGAGCCAACTGCCACATCTACCCAGAATGCACAGCCAATCTGCGAGAAGATTCGAGTAGCCGTGATCATCCAGGGAACCCCATGCGAAATGGAGGTTGACTCCGGGTCAGCGCTCTCTGTTATTTCTGCTGAGACATACCATCACATCTGCCAGAAGGGAGGAGCCCCCTGTTTGCAGCCCTTTGAGGTGATCCTGACAGACTTCCAGGGGAAGCAAGTGCCGATTCAGGGCATTGGCACGTTCACTGTCCAATTTAAGCATTTTAGCGGACCGCTACAGCTGGTAGTTGTCAAAGGCCACCACACCAGCCTACTTGGCCTCAACTGGTTCGACGCACTGGGCATCCATATCACCGGGGTCCAGCACATAGGCCAGTCCAGCTATGAGGCCATCTGTGATGAGTTTGCAGCCGTGTTTGATGTGTCACTGGAGTGCTACAAGGGCCCACCGGTCGCACTGAGCCTCAACCCGGCTGTAGTACCGATCCGCATGAAGGCTCGGCAGGTGCCATTTGCCCTGAAGCCCAAGATCGATGCAGAGTTGGATCACCTCATCAAACAAGGCGTCCTTGAGCCAGTCCTGCATGCTCAGTGGGAAACCCCAATTGTCACTTGCCTCAAGGCAAACGGGAATGTGAGGATCTGTGCTGACTACAAGTGCACCCTCAACAAAGCCTTGCAGCAGCATGCGTATCCTGTTCCAGTCGTGAGTCACCTTCTTGCATCGCTGGCCAGTGGGAAAGTCTTTGCAAAGCTCGACTTGACCCAGGCATATCAACAACTCCCAGTTGACGAGGCCACCTCTGAGGCACAGACTATCGTGACCCACCACGGGGCTTTCCGTGTCAAGAGACTACAGTTTGGTGTCAGCGTGGCCCCAGGCCTCTTCCAAAACCTCATGGAAGATGTCCTGAAGGGTCTCCCTGGAGTAATTCCATATTTTGGTGATGTCCTCATTGCAGGGGGGTCCGAGGCAGAGCTTGCATGCCGTCTTCGAGAGGTCCTGTGCCGTTTTCAAGATGCCGGCCTAAAGGTGAAGAAAGAAAAATGCCAGCTGGGGGTGCCCGAGGTTGAGTTCCTCGGGTTCCTGATCAACGCTGATGGCATCCACCCCACACCAGCAAAGGTAAAGGCCATCCATAGTGCTCCACCGCCACGCTGTAAGCAGGAGTTGCAGTCCTTCCTGGGCCTGTTGAACTTCTACCACTCTTTTATTCCACATAAGGCGGCCACTGCGGAGCCCCTGCACCAGCTATTGAACAAGAAAGCTCCTTGGATCTGGGGCTGTGCTCAGGACACTGCTTTCAATGCTGTCAAACACCTGCTCTCCTCTGACAGTGTCATAACCCATTTCAATGAGACCAAGCCTGTTGTGCTTGCCTGTGATGTCTCCCCATATGGAATCGGTGCAGTCCTCAGCCACCAGTTGCCGGATGGACGGGAGGCCCCTATTGAATTCTACTCCAGGACCTTGTCATCAACGGAATGCAATTATGCCCAGATCGACAAGGAGGCCCTGGCTGTCGTGGCAGGGGTGAATAAGTTTCACAACTACATCTATGGCCGCCACTTCACAATTGTGACTGACCACAAGCCTCTGCTGGGCCTTTTTGCTCCTGATCGGCAGACTCCTCAGATCCTGTCCCCAAGGATGCTAAGGTGGTCCATCTTTCTCAATGCATATGACTACGCACTTCACCACCGTCCCAGCAAGAGCTTGGGCCACACAGCTGCCCTAAGCCACCTGCCATTGCCAGACATAGACGCTGATCCGTCCCCAGCCCACAGCGTGATGCTGCTAGAGACTCTGCCCCAGCCACCGCTTCACACCACAGATGTTGCCATGCACTCAGCAAAAGATCGCACCCTCTCCCGTGTCCTCAACTGGGTGTGGAGAGGGTGGCCAGTGGGTCACCTCGATGCCAAGTTCTCCCCATTCATCTCCCGGCAACATGAACTGTCAGTTCACAAGGGATGCCTGCTGTGGGGGAACCGGGTTGTGATTCCTGCTAAGCTGCAAACCAGAGTGCTGGAGGCTCTGCATGTGAGTCACCCAGGTATCGTCCGCATGAAAGCTCTGGCCAGGAGCTATGTCTGGTGGCCAGGCATTGATGCGGAATTAGAAGAATGGATCCGGTGCTGCCAGACCTGCCAAGAGTTCCGACCGGCCATGCCCCAGTCCCTGATCCAGCCATGGGAGATGACGCGAAAACCATGGTCAAGACTCCACATTGATTTCGCTGGCCCGCTCCAAGGTCAGACATTCTTGATCATTGTGGACGACTTCTCAAAGTGGCTTGAGGTGGTGCCAGTCTCAGCGATGAACTCCAAGGTCGCCATCTGGGCCCTGAAGTGGGTCTTCACCACACATGGCCTGCCAGACATCATTGTGTCCGATAATGGAGCACAGTTCACATCGGCTGAGTTCCAGAAGTTCATGGCTGACAACCTAATCCAGCATGACACATCATCACCATTTCACCCATCAACAAACGGACAGGCCGAGAGAATGGTGAGGACCACCAAGGAATCCCTCACCCGGATTGTCCAGGGGGACTGGAACCAGCGCTTAGCAGATTTCCTGCTGCAGCAGCACATCACGCCCTGCACTGCCACAGACCGAAGCCCAGCGGAGCTCCTCATGAACCGGAAGCTGGCATCGCTCCTGGATCGGCTGCACCCCAACATTGCATCTGATTGGCCTCCAGGCCAGGAGCCTCCAGCGGCCCCCATGTCCTTCACCCCAGATGACCCTGTCTACACCCAGAACTATGGAGATGGCCTTGCCTGGATCCCTGCTGCTACCAGGGCAACTTGGCCAGTCTCTTACAAGGTTGCCATGCCAGACAGTCGGGTCCACCGCCAGCATGTGGACCAAGTGTGGCACCACCTAACTGATGCCCCAGCTCCAGCTGCCGCCACCACACCAAAGCACAGGGATGAAGTGAATGATCAGCTCGGCTCACAGGCTGATGCACCCAAGGAGGACCCTGTGTTCCCAGGAAGTACAGAGGAATGGGGCCCTGGCACTGCACCGCCAGACAGTGCCAAGGCAACAACACTGGTGACACCCATGACACCGGCTCCAACACAATCTCTAAATGACCCAAGGGGGCGAGCTCTGCCGCTCTCATAATCTTGAGGACTATGTGTGTTGATGGGGGTTAGGGTTCGTGCCTAAGGGGAAGGGAGTGTTATGTATTCAGTGGTCTATGTCCACCTGAGTTTGACTCTGGACTAAGGATTCTGTGTCCCTCTCTTCTGATTCAGTACATATCCATTATCAGGGTTGGGGCTACTGGCATTGGCTCTTAAGGTCCAAGTTACGATTCACAGCTTGGGGGTTTTGACAGCAAATCACGTTGTTCATTTATTTCAGTAATTCAACTTAAAAGATGAAACTAATATAGGAGATAGACTCATGACATGCAAAGCGTGATATTTCAAGCCTTTATTTGCTATAATTGTGATGATCATGGTGTATAGCTGATGAAAACCCCAAATTAACAATCTCAGGGCCCAAACCAAGTACTGAGTACATATGCATGCTTCTACTTCTCAGAGGTGCAATATTGCTCTATTTGCAGTCCTTGTTTTGCTGATTTCATTTAATATTCTAATTTTCTGAGATTGTTAATTTGGGGTTTCTGCTTATTAAAACAATGCACTTTCAAGTCAGATATTTGACAAATCTTCCATCTGCCTCATTAAGTGTCACCTTCACAGAACGCTTTCAATCCATGCCCTTAGCGGTCATAGATGGATGATACAATGGGATACCTTTTGAAGAGAGACTCTGTCTGTGTGGGCAACAATTTGTAGAGGACATTTGCCATTACTTACTACAATGTCCACTATACACGGACCAAACAAATTGATTCATAAAACTGCTTTTCATGAAGAAAACAAATCTAACCAGGGTGGAGAAGGTAAAATGGCTGCTGAGTGATACTGATGGCTCTGTCACTTTTAAGGTGGCTCTCTATGCCACCTTATAAGGCAGCTAGGAAGATTAGTAATAAAGAACTGGATGGGCTAGAGGTCAATTGCAAAAGAGTCTCTGAGATCTAATCTGCACATTTTATTTGAGAATTACTTTTTATTCTGTGTAATAAGAAATTTTGGTAGATTTAATCATGGTTTTACTGCATATGTAGAGACTACTGTCTGCTTGTTTTTCTTCTTTCTTCTTTGGACGTTGCCATGGCCTTTGGCTAGTGCAATAATATTATAATATATAATATAATATAATATAATATAATATAATATAATAATATAATAATAATATAAGCAGTTGCTTTGCCTTTGTTGTTCAGTTATGTTAGCTCAATAAAGTCCCTTGCTGTTATCACTGTGTCTTGCCTCGTAGAAACCCACGTACACTCCAGTAGGTTCTCTAGTTTGTTAGGAAAAGGGGTGCATACACCCCTATCTTGTTGTGCTGTTTCATAACCATCTATAACAAATTTTCAAAAGCTTTATGGTTTGCAAAATTGACAATATGGTAGAATGCAGTCATAGAATATGCTTTCATGGTCTTATTCACAAAGCGTTTTCACATTAACATGATTTTCTTTTTATAATATGTATACTATAATTCCAACTTAATGATAATGACAATTAGTGATACCATAAACTAAGCACTATATGACAAATCACTCCCCCCACAATTTGAAAAGCATAATTCATTATTTTAAATTTAATGTTACCTTTCTTGGGTTGACAAAGAAAAACCTAGAACCACACACTTTATCAGTTGTTATTAAATTGTTTTGCACTCTCCGTGCAGTTATATGTAGGGTTTTCACCACAAACATAAGATCTGGAGTGATGTCACAATATAGCAATTAGAATCAGGGGTAATGGCAGCTTTCCATTTTTAGCAAGAGTTCAAGCTGTGCATCACTTTGATGTTTTTCCTACATCTATATATTAAGTAGCTCACTATAGTAAATTATGCTAAATCTTGGTAGCATATACAAGAGACATAAGGTTAGAAAGTCAAATATTTTTCAAAACCTTGTTTCTTTTTGCCTCATGTATAGGTAGCACCTTTTGATGAAACTGCGGGAGGCAGTGGAAGAAAGGAGTGCCTGGTGTGGTCTGGTCCATAGAGTCACGAAGAGTCGGACACGACTAAACAACAATAGGTAGCACCTTATCACTTCAGGAAAAGAAGTGCCTGATGGGGATAGTAGTGTTATTAGAATAAGAGGGCAATCTTAAGGCAAGAGCACCTTAGGATGCTAAAATCTCCAGCTCAGTCAGTTTTAAGTCTTCAACCCCAGCTTAGTCAAAAATATGCTGGAGTAGCTTGCTCATCCCAGCTAAGCCAAGGCTGGTGTAAGTCCTCCAAAAGGGGGGAAGGTGAGACCGGGGGTGGGTGGAACTGAGGCTGGATCCTAAGCATGTTCAGCTTTGGTCATGTGACTGTGAATGTGGCACAAAATGTTATTTTAAAGGCTTGTTTTCTCTCTGTCAGGGTTAAACAGAGCAGCAGCCTTGCTGCTGGATGGGGTTTGGATCCGATATGACATTACACCAGCTGAACTTACACTGGCTTCAGGTTCATGTGCATAGCAATGCTCCCTATATTGCAACAGCAGCATGCCTTAAGAAACTGAATGTGGAGGGACCTGCCCTTTTAAACAATGAAAAAATGGTAAGTCTAGCTGCTCAAACTACCATACTTTTGACCCTTCTCTCCCTTTTCAAAATCTCTTTTTTCTTACCTGCAAATATTATAGCTTTCCTACCATTGGTATTAAGGTGAAGCACTGTGCCTAGTGTATTAAGAATCACATGGTGCTTGGCAATCCTATGGTCACACCATGCTGGTGGCCAACTTACACCAGTGTAACAATGCCAGGATAGCATAGTTGAAACTTTATTGACCCCAGCCCCAGCAGCAAAGTTGAAATGAAAACAATGGAACAAACAGCAGTGAACATAGCAACTTCATTGGCCACTTCCTTAGTGACCATAGCACCACCAATGACTCCCACCAACCTGAGAGTAGCATGCAACAATGTCTACAGGCATTAAAACACCCAGGCATGAAAGCAACCAACCCATGCACGCCAAGGGGGAAATACTCCCATAAAACCATTCTGTCCCACATTACTTTCCACAGCAGTATTCCACTGGTACGAGAACGAACCTCCAAAATAAGGCTTCAGTCTGGAGGTCCCTGCACACAAGTTAAAACTAACACTGGGCCAAATTCCCCTCCTGGAAAATGGGGGAGGGGACAATTTTGTGCTATTTTGTGCAGTGAGGGAGAAATGTATCCAAACTTTTCAAGATTCATGCACCTTCCTTGTTTTTGCAGAAAGTGTTGTTGGGGAGACACTGTCGAGAGAACCTTGCACTGCTTACTGCCAACCACACTTCCCAGAATGCCTCAGGAATAATGAAGTGCAACATGGCATTACTCCCAAGGCATTCCACGAAGTGCAGCTGACAAACAGCAGGGGAGGGAACCTTACACTGTCATGAGCAGTATGAGTCATTTTTAAGTTAACAAACAAGAAGAAAATGGAAAATCCTTTGGGAAATCATACGGTTAAGTAAGGTAACCAGAAACCTGCTCCTGAAAATTTGGAGAAATTTATTTTCTCCACCTGTTTTCAAGATGGGCTGATGCCTAAGGGGGTTTAGGATTTGGACTAAGCCCATACATTTCCCTGTGTCCATAGAACTGTCCATTTTATCCCATTTGGAAGAGTGAGCAACAGTAACCTTCTACAGTACCTTGATCACTTAAACAGGTGGGTAAAATGCACACATTCCCTCTAACTGTATCCCTTTCAGTATTTTTAAAACTAAAATAATTATGTAAGATTACATATAGTTTACTGACTTGCTTGATAAAAATATGATTTGTGTAATCCTTGTGACTGTAAACAGGAAATGCTAATAAAGCATTTATCTTCCTGATAGGTAAAAGCAGGTCTGTCATAGTGACTGTCAAAACAAACCAGTGGACTCAGATGAAAGAGCAAGTAAACAAATATTTTCTGGGAAATTTCTTCCACATTGCCTTCAGCAAAAATTCAGTTCTGGTAGCAGACAAAACAAAATCAATTTTATTCACAAAAACCAGTCTCTTTCTTTCCAAGTGTTTGTAAAACTGTATCATTTGCTCTGCAAATCAGTAACAATAATGAGTAATTCTCTTCTAAATGTTCATATAATTTCTCATCCTTATAATAAATTTCATGTGTTATTGTCTTTTCTGAAGATACCTTGCTTATGATTACTAATAAAAAAAACCTTCGTAATTTTTAAATTTTCAAGATGCCTTTTCTGGGATGCATTTGATATTTGAGTATGTACTGGATGAATAAAGGAAGCAGAAAAGGGGTGTGTTAGTAGTAGAACTACATTCTACTATTTTCACACAGGGCATAAATACTAAGCAGCTCCCCAAGAGCTTCATCCACAGTACATTCTTATAGACTACGGTATGTATTAATCAGGAATTTTTTTAGACCTTTAACAACTTTGGCTGCAATCTTTTGCACACATTTAAAACTCCCCTTGAATCCAATGGGACTTAATCCTGAGTAAGACAGCAACTGGAATTTAAGTGATACAAAGTTCTGTAATCACTTTATTATAAAGTATAGTAGACTGATTAGAGAATCCACTGTAGGAATTCATTTTCTTCTGTGAAGCGCCTAAATGTCATTCTGTTAGCAAGCTGATGGAAGCAAACTACTTCTCCCAACTAAGAATGGCTAGTATAATGCACAACATCAACATTTTTCAAAATGAAGCCATTACACCTTTAAAATATTATTTTTCAAAATGGTGACACAGAAACACATGTAATACTGCACATAGGCAGCATGTTAGCATCACATTAGTTCAAAATAAAAAGAAAAGCTACAGATGGCAGCATATCTACTCATTGCAGGGGATTGGAATAGATGACCAACGAAGTTGTTTCCAACTCTACAATTGTATGATTCCCTTAAAAGACCCAGGGAGCAATTCTAAAACCTGTTTAGGTTCAATTGGTATAAAATTTTGCTGCCATCTACAGCAGTGGCGTAGCGTGGGTTGTCAGCACCCGGGGCAAGGCAAGTAATTTGCGCCCCCTAACCCGTGGATTTGCGCCCCCTAACCCTA